AAATCCCATTGATGGTTTAGACCATCAAGAGTTCTACAGTGGAGTCTAAAAACCAAAAAGACCTCTTGCTCCAGAAACTTCAAACACATAGGATCTGACCGGATCTTCCTCCATGAGCTTTTTTCATTCATGGAGTGAGGCCAACCAGGTCCTCCATGAGTAAAACCAGAATATCTACACTTGCACACACTTGTTAGGCACTTTTGATCCCTTAATCGCTCTCCAGTTAATCCTTTGAGTGCCCTGTCACAGTATCATTAGTACACTGTACAGAATTTTGTAACTGATCACTGTGTTAGTGCCATTAGCTACCTCAGATGGTGTCCCTAACAGCTAGTGTTTTCCATATTATCACCCACCACATTTAACCTTTTGCTGGCCTGCCACACTATCACAGTCACACTATAACTGCCATTACTAGTATAGTGTCTGCACAGATCAGTATCTTGACCACAAGAGAAGTATACTAGTGTCCCCAATAGTATAGGACCACCAACGTCACCAGTGTTAGCAGGATCAGCCCTGTTCCCTGCCAGCACTTCCATTTGCCCCCCCCCCCCCCCCCCCCCCCCCCCAACAAGTGCAGTGTCAGTATAATTTCTGATCACTGCCACCTCTGATACATTGTACTCAAAACCACTATGTTAGAAAGATCAGGCCTGATCTCTGCTAGCACTAGCAGGTACATTTTATGTTTAGCACGCAAGCAGCCAGGAACTCTTTTTCCCATAGTTGCACTAGGTACCTGTAAATTTAGTGCCCAAAATGTCCCAAAAAAGGTACATTAGTGAAAAGGCCTACAGGAGTCTGAGCATGACAGACAGGAGCAAAGGGGAGTCCTCTGTCAGAATGTGGCTCAGAATATGAATTTGTAGCAAGCAGCAGCACCCTGACAGGTAGCTCAGACAATGGAGAAGAGGTCCCTGCTAAGGTTAGGTGTACCTGACCCCAGGTTGCTGAGGTGTTAGAAAAGTAGTACATCCTGGCCTTTCTGACACCAGCGCTACAGTATTACATAGCGAAGTGGCGAGCACCAAAAGTGCAGTACAAGCTGATTAGGTGGCTAGCAGTAGTATCGTAATGCAATCACAGTTACCAAGAATTCAAGCACAGGCCCATAGAGCCCAGAGTAGCCTTCCAGAGGTGCTTGAAAACCATAATTGGCTGCCCCCAGCAACCAAGGCAAGCTTCCAGGGCATTAACGAATATAATGCTTTGATATCTAATGTGACCCACACAAACTGACTCCTCCAACATGGATTTCTAATATGCAAGAGTACGGTCTTCATGTCTCTAATATAACCTGGAAGTCTCTGAACCAAAACCTGCAGATGGAGATCCACCCACTCCCCCAAGTAGTAATAAATAGAATCAATCTCTACTATTATCGGATGCTCCTCCAAGGGGACACCTGACCTATGCATTTTGTGCAAGTGGTGGAAAATAGAGGTGATGTTCTGACATTTTTTTCTTATTCAGAACTCCAATTCATTCACTCTTATTCAGAAAATAAAATAGAATCCATTGCAAGGGAGCAATGGACACATATTTGCAGACATATGTGGAAGCTGGTGTGCCTTGCCAAGGTTCCTCTGTAAAGTGCAGTCCTAATTCTAATATTTGAGAGTCTCCAAGTTGAAGCATATATTGCAGTGAATAAATTGTAAATTGAGGGCAGGTATACCTGGAGCGAGCTCATTCTACCTTAAAGGTGCAGGGACGCCCAGCATTAGCAAATTGAAGGCAGTAGTTGAAGGCATCCAATCGGTCTCCAGGCCAAACCCTTAACTCTTACCAATTCCTACACAGAGGTAAAAGCAAAAAAAAAAAAAACAAAAGAAAAAAAAAAAAGAGAGTCCTTGAAATATATCACCCATAAAAGATCTATTACATTATTACAGGATTTGTTTTTTATAAAATGTACAGGACAAATCGTATGACAAAATATTAAAATTCAAGGTAAATAATGAAAACATAAATGTTTGTAATATATACAGTACTTTTTTGAGACCATAACAGTATTCAAAATATTTAATTTATTATTCCTTTGGAATGTCAACATGTGTTGTGGATTTATCCAATTTTTCAGGACCATTATAGAGAATACCTGCTCTGAAGTTCACTTTTATGATCTGTATATTTTGTGTATGATGTAATCAAAATATTAAATATAGTTATAATGATCCCATTTTGTCTAGGATGGGTAGGTACCACAAAGGTTATTTGTGTAATGATAACAATTGTGATTTGGTAAAACATTTTATAGCTTAGAATTAGCAAAAGTACAGCAAATAGGCCTAAAATGTGCTGTATCTCCAAAATGTCACATAAAGTCACAGGGGCGGACTGACCATTCAGGCATTGCCCGAGGGCCCGGGGTCAATAGGGGGCCGGTGAGAGGCTCACTGGGCACAATTCATTTAGCAGTAGCTTACGGCATCCGAGTATGCGGTAGGATACCGCACAGCATTTAAAAAAAAAATTTGAATTCACCAAAAAAAATGCTACTAAAACACCGCATGAGTAATTTTATCAAGTAATGCGGTATTTTAGTAGTGAAAACAATGCGGTAATGTTTCAGCTCTCAGTGGGGTTCCCCGCTGACAGCTGAATGTAAAAGAAAGAATTGCCGGCAATTCAAAATTTTGTTTTTAAATGGCGTGGGGTCCCCCCTCCATCCACACCAATCCCTTTGGGTCTGGTATGGATTTTGAGGGGAACCCCCCACGCTAAAATTTAAAAAAAAAAGTCATGGGGGTCCCCCCCAAAATCCATACCAGCCCGGTAGGTTAGGGAAGGAGACGAGTGAGCATCCCCCCTCCTGAACCATACCAGGTCACATGCCCTCAACATGGGGGGTGCTTTGGGGGGTGGAGGGGGCTCCCCCCAAAGCACCTTGTCCCCATGTTGATGGGGACAAGGGCCTCTTCCCCACAACCCTGGCCAGTGGTTGTGGGGGTCTGCGGGTGGGGGGCTTATCGGAAAAAAAAGACAGGAGACAGTCTTTGACAAGTCCTTTATAAAAGAAGAAAAATAAAAGAATGTCCCCCGAAGTAGATCCAACATTAATCATGATGCCCGCTGCTGCCGCAGCCGCTACCCAAAAAAAGAGGGAAACAAAAGGCTCCGCTGCCAACGCTGGCTCCCGGCCATCTGACTGCTCTGCTGGCTTGATAGTTCTTAAATATGTAAGGGGCAGGGCCATCACGTGTGTTAACGCCGCCCTTAGTGGCGTCATCAACCAGGACATGCTGGATTAATGATGTCACAAGGAGGTGGGGCTACATGCGTGATGTCCCTGGGTGGCCCCACCCCTTACATATTTAAAAACTCTCAAGCTAGCAGAACAGTCAGATGGCCAGGAGGCAGCGTCGGGAGAGGAGCTTTTTTTTTTTCTTTTTTAGGTAGCGGCGGGCATCGTGATTGACGTTGGATCTACTTTGGGGGACATTTTTTTGTTTTTCTTCTTTTAATAAAGGACTTGTCAAAGACTGTCTCCTGTCTTTTTTCACACTACACCTTTTTTTTGTGAATGGGTAGTGGTACCATATACCCCATACTCATTCACGTGGGGGGGGGGCAGGATCTGGGGGCTCTCTTGCTAAAGGGGGCTTCCAGATTCCAATAGGCCCCCTGCTCACAGACCCCCACAACCACAGGCCCGGGTTGTGGGGAAGAGGCCCTTGTCCCTTGGGGGGGAACACGCTTGCCCTAAAACACCCCCCCATGTTGAGGGCATGTGACCTGGTATGGTTCAGGAGGGTGGGCACTTGCTTGTCCCCCCCTTTCCTGACCTGCATAACTGCATGCTCGGATAAGGGTCTGGTATGGATCTTAGGGGGGACCCCACACCATTTTTTTTTTTTAATCTTGCTGTGGGGGTTCCCCTCAAAACCCATACCACTCCCGAAGGGCTTGGTATGAATGGAGGGGGGACCCCACGACGTTGTTTTATTAGTTTTTAAATTATTTTTAATGCCCTTTCTGTGCAGCTGAGCTGCAATATGTAGGTGGGGTGTTGTGTGGGTGTGGCTTTGGCTTGAGTGTAGGCAGAGACACAGGGGTCCCCATTATCTCTTATTGCCCAGGGGCCCCATTAGTTGTCAGTCTGCCCCAGTCACCACATATACTTGTAATGTTGTTGGCCCGAGAACAATCAATGAAAAAAGCATGCAGAATATGCAGCAGGCAGTAGGTGCATTCAATGAGACTTACAGCAGGAGGAATTTTCCAATGTAGTTTATTCAATGACAACATTTCGGCAGGACACAGCCCACCTTTCTCAAGACAAATACAGCAGTGATAAACATAGATATAAATTCCCACAACCCTTCCCACCACCACCTTCCAGTGATGACATCAGCAAAAAATAAGTGCATGAAATAGGACAGAAAAACAATACAAAATGTTACTAGAAGTAATCACAGATAGTTCCTACTATTAATGATAGCAATGCACAGGGGTGTATTTGCCGCAAGGCAAACAAGGCATTTGCCTAGGGCGGCACTTTTCAGGGGGTGGCGCGGCGGCGGCAGCATCACCACCCCCCCTTTTCCGCGGAAGGGACACTTCTGTGGGAAAGGGACAGGGGCTGCTGTGTCTTATCTGTCTCCGTGACTCCGTGCCCCGGTTCGATCCAGTCCATGAGGCGTTGTTGTAGGAGGGTTGCAGAGGGTGTCTTCATCTCCCTGGATCTTGATTGCAATGCGGGCGGGATGGCATGCCGCCTCTCTGATCTGGCCACACCCCCAGGATCACTGGGCAGCCTATGGCAGCCTGCCCCTCCCTTTGCAAGCTCCGCCTCTTCACCGGTGATTGGCCACCAGATCTGTAGCTCAGGAAGGGGCCAATCACCGGGGAGGAGGTGGAGCTTGGAGAGGAGGAGCCGAGCGGCAGTGCGAAGATCAAACATCGAGTGAGGGACCAGCCAGAGCTGGTGAAGAGGAGAAAAGCGGCCAGAGAAGGAAGACAGCTGATGGGTAAGCTGATGTCTGTGCGGCTGGGATCTGGGGCAGAGCAGATTATACTACTGCAGCCAGGTGTGCTGGCTGTGGATGGGAGAGGGAGGAATCCCGGGCTGGAGCAGAGGTCAGCACAGTGAAGTAAGTATCATTGGTGTCAGTGATACTAATGATGGGCCACTATTCCTCCCACTGACACTTTTCATGACACTTTTCCTCCCACTGACACCAATGAGGGGGCACTTTTCCTTCCACTGACACCAATGAAGGGGCACTATTCCTCCCACTGACACCAATGATGAGGTGTTATTCCTCCCACCAACACCAATGATGGGGCACTATTCCGCCCACTGATACCAATGATGGGGCACTATTCCTCCCACCGACACCAGTGATGGGGCACTATTCCTCCCACTGACACCAATGGGGCATTATACCTCCCACTAACACCAATGATGGGGCACTATTCATCCAACTGACACCAATGTCGGTGTACTATTCCTCCCCCATTGACACTAATGATGGGGCACTATTCTTTCCACTAACACCAATGAAGGGGCACTATTCCTCCCACTGACACTGGTGATGGGGCACTATTCCTCACACTGACACCAATGATGGGGCACTATTCCTCCCACCGACACCAATGGGTCACTATTCCTTCCACAGACACCAATGGGTCACTATACCTCCTGCTGACACCAATGATGGGGCACTATTCCTTCCACTGACACCAATGATGGGGCACTATTCCTCCCACTGACAACAATGATGGGGCACTATTCCTCCCACACTGACACCAATGACGGGGCACTATTCATCTAACTGACACCAATGACGGGTTACTATTCCTCCCCCACTGACATTAATGATGGGGCACTATTCCTTTCACTAACACCAATGATGGGGCACTATTCCTCCCACACTGACACTAATGATGGGGCACCATCATTGGCGTCAGTGGGAGGAATAGTGCTGCATCATTGGTATCAGTGTGGAAGTAATAGTACCCATCATTGGTGTCAGTGTGGAAGTAATAGTGGTATCAGTGTGGAAGTAATAGTACCCCATCGTTGGTATCAGTGTGGAAGTAATAGTACCCCTCATTGGTATCGTGTGGTAATGTACCCCATCGTTGGTGTCAGTGGGGAGGAATAGTGCCCCATCATTGGTTTTAGAGTGGGAGGAATAGTGCCCCATTATTGGTGTCAGTGGGAGGAATAGTGCCCCATCATTGGTAACAGTGAGAGGAATAGTGCCCCACCGTTGTTGTCAGTGGGAGGAATAGTGCCCCATTATTGGTGTCAGTGGGAAGAATAGTGCCCCATCATTGGTATCAGTGAAAGGAATAGTGCCCCAACATTGGTGTCAGTGAGAGGAATAGTGCCCCAACGTTGTTGTCAGTGGGAGGAATAGTGCCCCATCGTTGTCAGTGGGCAAAGCTCTAACAGGAAGAGGTGGAGCCTAAAGAGGAAGGGTGGAGTTTGCAGATGAAGGGGTGGATCTTAAACAGGAAGGGGTGTCACAAATTTAGATGCGGGGGTGTGCCTGATTTTAATCTTGCCTAGGGCAGCATAAAACCAAAATACACCACTGGCAATGCAGATTAAATACTGTGGAAATAAACACCCCCATGGATTTGCTCCTCCAAAAAAAACAATATGCTATTTATTTTGGGGGAACCACTAATCCCATTCAGGGGGTGGCTCCCCTGAACAGATCTTTTTTTCCCACCTGTTTCTCAACAGGCAGTTGAATGATCAAAGATATTACTGATTCATGCTGGCCCTTGATTTCCAGTGACCAGAGCCTCACCACAGCTAAGTCTCCAACACCTATCATGAGCTACCATAAGGGGGGGGGCGCTCTCTTAAGGATTTGTTATTGAGGATTGACTTCATTCCTCCCAACCCTTGAATGACCTGGCTTACTACCAACAGGCCTGAATTTTATAGTTGTTCTGATTGTGCTACTTGTAGATGTATAATGGTAGGTCCCTACTTCATGCACTCCAAATCTGAAAAACATATCTATCAAACACAGACTTGCATGCACCTCGAGTTTTGTTATCTGAATGCTTATTTGCCCTTGCAGTGCCTACTATGTGGGAAAGACAATTACTTATACTGAGAAACAAATTGCCCATTAGACAAGCCCATGGCTTCAGCAGTCAGCAGTCAGCAGCCAGCAACCAGCCAGTGGTCTGACATTTTCTTGAACACTAACATCCCATATCTACCATAAGACAAATGATCATTGATAATGTTCTGGTTCCATCAAGAGGAGTTGACCGACATGAGACTTTATTACAAAAGAAATGTCAATGGATCTTTAGCTTTGATACCTTAACACCAAGGGGCATGAATGAACAGTTGAGATTAAACCGTTTTCTCTGACTTCCAACCATAGTGGATATGATGGGTAGTTTGAGTTTTATGCACTAACCCTGATCCACTGAAGAATCCCTTGTGTGCCATGTCAACAGACGTCTATGAGCATTATACACGTTACTTATTATGTGACTCCATTTCCTGAGAATTGGGGATATAATGGGATGTGGAATTGACTGGATGTTCCCCCCACTGTCCCACTTACCCTAACTGTTTATTGTTTTTGCTGTTAATTTTTTATTATTACCGTGTTTACAGATTTAAATTCTAAACGTTCAAGCGGCCCCAGTCCTCCTGTTCTTGGGTTCCCCGCTGAAGCTCCTTGCCCCTCTCCCCTGGTGAGTGCTTCAATAGCAAGCTTGCTGTGGGGACACTAGTGTGGGCTACCTCCCGAGCCGACTCATAAGACAAATAAGATACACAGTGTGTGGCTAAGCTTCGTTCCCCTGTCCCTCTTCACTGGCTGTGACTGACAGCAGCAGGAGTCAATGAAGAGTGAGAGCAAAGAGAGCCTCTGCTCTCATGCACATTACTGGATCGAGATTGGGCTCAGGTAAGTAAAAAGAGGGGGCTAGGGGGGAGCTGCATGCAGAAGGTAAAAATCTTCTGCCTTTACAACCACTTTAAGCCTACTCATAATGGGTTCTATTCACAAAGTGGTATTTACTGCTTTAAAAAATGTGGTAAAATACCGTTTAGTGTTTTCAAAAAATCTTTTGGCATTCATGACAAAAATTCTTCTAAAATACCCCATGCAGTATTTTTCCAAAATAGTGTATGTGATATTTATCTCATGGTGTCATTGGCATGGTGAATTTTGCATATATATATTTTATTCTTTGGATTAGGCGTTGTAGACATTAGTGAGCAGCGCTGTTCCATATGTATATGTTTATTTATATGTGTTTGATTTTTGACACTATATTCATTCCATATATGTGAAAAAAAAAAATACTTTTTGCGCTAGATGCGTGCAAATTATACAAAATGAAATAAATATAATACAATATACCTAAATAAAAACTGCTGCCACCTTGAGTGAAATAAATCATATAAACAACAAATGAACCCTAAGTGATTCAGTGGCACTGTTAATAAACAAATTAATAGGTGACTCATTAGTGAAAGTCATTCCAACGTAATAATCTTCTATTTGTCTCCCAAAAGCGTAATCACCACATGTTCAAGAAAAGCGCTCCCCTTTCGGGTGTACACTCACCAAATTTCCATGCCTCTCACTCTCATGGTCAGCATATATCTCTTTGAGAAACTCCAAGTAAAAAGAAAGTATGCCATTATCAGTATATCCACAATCCTCTTTGCTCCTCTCTCCCAGAGACAATGGCCATGAAAGAATAAAAAGGTAAAAACTCCAATGGTGCAGTACAAATAACACCTTTTAATAAATAAATGCAGACTGCCACTCACAGAATAACTGAAAAAAGCATGCCTGTAGATATTACATAATACTGTGATATGGTGGGTTACAAGCAATGCTCTCACCAGGGATTCCTATGACTAAGTCGGAAGTGACAAAACACGTCAGCTGAGGCTGTGCGGTGACCTGAAGTGACGTCTGGGACAGAAACCAGAAGTGATGCGAGAGCACCATTGTATGGGATCTGGCGGTGCTGAGAGCACTGCTTGTAACCGACCATATCACACTATTATGTATTATCTACAGGCTTTTTACAGTTATTCTATGAGTGGCTGTCTGCATTTATTTAATAAAAGGTATTATTTGTACTGCACCATTGGAGTTTTTACCTATTTACTCTTTCATGACCATTTGGTGAGTGTACACCCAAAAGGGAAGCGCTTTTTCTTGAACACATGGTAATTCTGGTTTTGGGAAACAAATAGAAGATTATCATGTTGGAATGAATTTATGGACTTTCATTAATTAGTCACTTATTAACCTCCCTAGCGGTATTCCCGAGTGTAGCTCGGGGGAAAATGTCAGTACAAAAAGCGGTAACCCCGAGCTACACTCGGGCTTACCATGCGGCGCTGCATAGGGAGTCCCTGCAGGGTTTAACTTGTCCTGCACACCCGCGATGTGTCCCCTGCAGCGTCCCCCGGCCATCTCCTCCGGCCGATGCCGGCATCCGGCTTCTGTGTTCCGGTCCCTGTGAGATCGGGACGTACGGGCGCCACCGGCGACGGCTGGAAATTAGAAAATTTTTAAAAATGTCATTTTTTTCCAAACAAATTTTACATAGTAAAACATTGCTGTTTCAACCCATTTCACATACATATTGTCCCTAGTGCTTTGTCCTGTGACCTGCCTGCATTTTGTCTGTTCTTTCTGCCTGGAAACTGAGAAAAGTCCATGGCATCCAAAAAGTGTCCCTTAAGGTCAAAAGCGGTTTTAGACCAGCTAGAGAACAGTGATAGTAAATTAGAACCACTTGCAGAATTGAGTGATAATGATTTGTGGGGGAAATTCGTCATCAGACACTGAAAACGATTTTGTGACTTTGCTCAGCAATGTGCGAACTTGGTGCTATATTTCAAATTTCAGTGTTTTTGGTTTGATTATATTATTGAATTAAATGTATTATTATTATATTATTATTTTTTATGATTATTTATTAAATTATAATTTATGATTTCGTGTTTCAAATTTTATCATACCCGGGATGTTTAATAGACTCTTGTTCGGACAGATTTCAGTGAGTTATTCCTAAAAATTACAGGCTACAATAAAAAAACTACATATTTCCATGCAAAATAATGGTACCGCTTTCAGCACCAAAAATCTGAAATAATCATAGGGAGGTTAATTTGTTTATTAACAGCACCACTGAATCACTTAGGGTTCATTTGTTATTTATATATTCATTCAATATTTGACATTTATAAAGATATTTTGTATTTACTTAAAGAATAACTTTTTATTTTTTAGTTTTGGATAGGGTGGACACCTATTAGAACACCTATTAGGTTTTTATTGCTGTCTGAGATTCACCCTCTTTATTTGTCCTGTTTATCATTATCATTGAAAGTAAAAGAAAATCCCAAATTTAGTGTTGTCCCCAGAAAAGTAATAGAAAGGAAATCTTCCAATGGGATCTGGTGACCTGGGAGACCCCATGGGATTCCCTTAATTTTGTAGGGATTACTTCTCGTTTCCTGTTTTGACAATGGGACAGGAAGTGAAGGTAAATCCCCGCAATGGAACACAGATGGCAAAAAAAAAAAAAAACTGACAGGAGTTTAACCCTCCATTACTCAAAAACGAAAAAGAAAGTTTTCTCCTAAGTTACACTTTCAAACAACCTTTGTCAACCCTTTCAACACAGAGGAACCCTTGAAATAACTTTCCAGTCTCAGGAAATCCTTACTAAAAATGACTATATTAGTGTGATGGTCAGTGGGAAGTATTACCCCCTTATAGATAGCTAAAAAGATCAATGATGTCAGAGGGAACCTGTCAGTGGGAAGATATCACTAAAAAAAAAAAAAAAAAGTAAACATGACATACTGTATGTTCTAACAAGGGATAAGACCATTGTGATATGCATGAACATTGTATAATGTTTGGAGTGATTGGGAAGTTTTTGCAGCAAATGATGTATGTGCTTGTATATACACACAAACAATGTCTCCAAAAATTGGTCAAAATTACATGAGAAAATAATCGATTTTACTGCATGTAATGGGGTGGATTTATTAACCGCTTCCCGACTGCCCTATAGCAGAAATACTATATATATATATGCGTGATTTTGCATTTCTGTGCAAGGGGCACGTGCGCCCTACCCACGCCTCCCATCCTGGCCGCAGCTGTCAATCACCGGGTCCTAGGCAATTACCCGCCGACACCCAGTG